TGCGGCAGCTGGAGTCAGGGCTTCAAGAACCACCTCACAGATGTAYGRAGACATGGTTTCAGCTGTCTCACAGACATATGAACAGGAACAGGAGAGGCATAGAATCCATGTTGCTTGAGGTCCAGTGTAACGTTTCCAMRGTCAGTGATGGTTTGGGGTGCCATGTCCTCTGCTGGTGTTGGTCCACTGTGTTTTCTGAGGTCCAAGGTCCACGCAGYCAYMTACCAGGAAGTTTTAGAGCACTTCATGCTTCCTGCTGCTGACCAACTTTGTGGAGATGCAGATTTCATTTTCCAACAGGACTTGGCACCTGCACACAGTGCCAAAGCTCCCAGTACCTGGTTTAAGGATCATGGTATCCCAGTTCTTAATTGACCARCMAACTCTTYTGACCCTAACCCCAAAGAAAATCTGTGGGGTATTGTGAAGAGGAAGATGTGATACACCAGATCCTACAAATCAGAAGAGCTGAAGGCCACTATCAGAGCAACCTGGGCTCTCATAACACCTGAGCAGAGCCACAGACTGATTGACTCTAATTTTCTGAGATACTGAATTTGGGGTTTTCATTAGTTGTCAGTTATAATCATCAAAATTAAAAGGAATAAACATTTGAAATATACTGTATCAGTCTGTGTGTAATGAATGAATACAATATTCAAATTTCACTTTTTGAATGGAACTAAATTTTACATGATATTCTAATTTTATGACCAGCACCTGTTCACGTCATCACCTCTTAGCAGCTTTTATTGGAGCTGTAATGGTTTGTATTTTGTTTTATATTGTTGCAAAGTACAGACCCTGTTCCAAAAAACTGTAGGTTTTTTTTTTTACTTTGTTGAAAATAAAAAACAATGTTCAATACACTCTTACATGCATGTGTATTTGTTYCTTGGCAGTATGTGGTGATGTCCAYGGACAGTTTTTTGACCTCATGAARTTGTTTGAAGTGGGTGGATCCCCCAGCAACACGCGKTATCTCTTCCTTGGTGACTATGTTGATCGAGGGTACTTCAGTATTGAGGTAAGCTCTTGCAGTGTACAAGTTTTTTTTGGCTTATTAAATATTTAGTCTAATTGTACATAAAATCCATTGGTTTGTGTTGTGCAACTTGGTACTAACATAATATTGTACACAAAACACATTACATGGACACTAATCAGGTGAAAAAAAAGAGTTAATGCATGTTTAAAAGTCAGTAAGCTGCTCCAAAAAAAATGCAATCTGTATGACAATCAATGTGAGTTGGCATGTAGATSATCAGTTATTATCGTTTAATAACAGAGGAAATAAAGTCCTGTACAGT